TGTGTGTGTGTGTGTGTGTTTGTGTGTGTTTATTTTCGTGTAAGTACATTATATGTGTGTGTGCATTTTTGTGCCCGTGTTTATGTTAGTCTATGTGAGTATGGGTATGTGTGTGTGTTTATGTTTGTGTGTGTGTGTGTGTGTATGTGTGTGCGTGCATGTGTTTGTGTGCTTATGGAAAGGGGGAGGTAAAGAGAGAAGATATGATGTATACCGGGAGCCGTTGAAAAGTAACGATTTGATGTAAAGGGTGCATAAATATTTTTTAAAGAACGGGGCAGGGGGGGGGGGGTAACAGATTAATTAGTTTTAGTTTTAATAAGTGTTTTGCAACACTTGCAACACAATCAGGTCAAAAAGTCCCGACAATTTTGATATTATTCCAACATTACTGAGACCACTGTACAAGAAAGCTCTTCAAAGAAAGGCAGATATTCTTTAACACTCAGCTTTGAATTCAAGATCTCTTGACACCACTCAACGTGGTACACACACAAAAAAAAGATCTGGTTCCTACTGAATAGAAGCAATGTCGTAATTGGAGCTATGCCTTAATACCCTCTGGGTCGTCCTCCATATGAGTTCATAAAAGTTCAGATGTTTGTTTGGTAACTTCATGGTCTACAAAAGATGCACCGTTCCTTCAGGCGGTGCATGTGTGCCGCATTTATTCGTCTTTACGTGCGAATGACGTACTTCAAGACACAAAAACACTGCCTTTGTCAATATAATTTGTTTCAACATTTGAAATGCTAAAAACTTTAACCGTACATTTGACATTGTGAAAGAGAGGAAAGAAATAAAATGAAAATATGAATAAAGAAAAAAATGAAAACGAGGGCATTACAGTCAAGACAGTGCAAGCGTTGTCCTCCAAGGTTACAGTGTACAAAAAATCCAACAAAAAACCAACAAAAAACAACAACAACCCACAACAACAACAACAAAATTTGGGTTTCAGTAGCAATAAAAGTACGATGCCAGTATCAAGGCAGGTTTTCATTGATTACGTACCGTTTAA